GCTTCAATACACGTCCCTCCACTGGTGACTCGACAGTGCTCATAATGAAATGTGTTTATATATTTCTACTGCGAAATGAGTACACATTCTCAGAACCTGGGCTAACCAAAGGCACGAAGTACCCTCCTCTGGTCCAGGTCAGGCTGCTGTGAGGTCACGGCCGCCAGGGCCTGCTCTCCATTGCTGTGGGGCTCTCCTCTCACCTCCTTATGCATCCACACCCTCAACAAGGTTTGTTTCTCTAACTGTCTCTCATGTGTCTGTTACCTCTTAGTGTTCCAGAGAGCATCTGAGTTTGACTCTCATCAAAGATTCATCCAACCTCCTTCCAACTGCTTTCTCTGATTCCGTCCTCTCCAGACTCTCAAAGGTCACCTGGCTTATCACCCCCCAAGCCTGTTTTATCACATGTGCCTCAGTTTATGGAAATGCATCCTCCCTTCCCTGCTACACAGATCGAACCTCCTCACCCGCCTTTCCAGTGCTCCTGTCTTCTGTCCCTTTCTTCTGAAATATCACTTCCCACAACTTCCTCTGCACATCCTCCTAGGACTCAGGCTGGCCCCTTTCTGACCCCAGCCCTGTACCAGGAGCCTCTGTGAGCTTCCAGGGCTTTTTCCAAAACCACTTCTCTCAGTCTGGTGTACCCTTCATATTTCCACCAGGCAAACTTCATTAAACATTAATCATCATGTTTTAGGACACTTCCTCAGATTTTATGATAATTCACATTGGGCTGAAGGGTAAATCCTTGTATATCAACAAATTTGGTGTTTGAAAGAACTGTCAAAACTATCTATCCCCTTATTCTCCAATGTTATTCTAAGTCGATGTCTAGGATTGTTTTTAATTAGCGTTGTGTAACTTCATCATCTAATTTTATTTGCCTTTCTTGAGAATGGGTTTTATTAAACCTATGCTTTGAATATTCTTTGCATTGACAGAATATATAATAACCAAACATTTTATCAATCATCAACAATACTGCCCAGTATTGTTAGCGTGGGGAAGAGCCTCCAAAGGAAGATCAAGATGTAATTTAAAAATCAAGTGTATGTGTTGTTTCTGTAGGGTTTCTCCTTGTACAGAGAGGACAGGGTAGACCTGACTACTCGTATCCGCATGGCTCCATAATGGCTATTCACACTGTTCTCAGGTTATCATGCGAAACCAGACGCAGGATGGAAACGGTATAGTGAGATATTCTAATCATTCATCTCAATCCGTCTGTGGGGATTTGGCCTTTCCTGGCCCATTGTGAACAATGGACTCCCAGGACTGGGTCATATCACACACTCACAAACATCTCAGACACAGATCTGAGTCACGTGTCTGAGCCTCACTCATCCTCTTCACGGGAACCCACACCCAGCGGTCAGTGTTTCTGAGATAGAGCTCCACAGTTTTCCATGGCTTCAGCACAGCCAAATTCAAGGCCTACCTGGACCCGTCGTGACAGCAGGTGACCTGGGGGCAGGACTGGGGAGCGGCGTGGACTCTCACCCTGGCTGTTCCCCAGAGAGAGCCCCGTGGAGCTCTGGCTCCACCTGGAGGGGCCGGGGAGCCGCCGGCTCTGCCCTTGGGACACAGTGCACAGAGGGACTGGGAGCTGGCACGTCTGAGTGAGGGACCACAGGGGTTCTCTGCAGCCCTCTGGCAACTTTCTCTTCAAGATTAAGATAGTTGCCAATCATTTGGTTAGGGCAAAGAGAAAAACGTGAGCAACATCCTCTGAGTCACTGATGGTCCGACTGCTGAGAGGAGAGGACTGAGCCCGAGCCAGGGTGTCGGGCCCAGGAGAGCTCAGTGTCCCACCTGCCAGTGGCCAGGAGTCTGGGCCCAGTGAAGGGACCTGCTGATCCTCAGTGCCCTCGGCTCCACCGTGAGACACCACAGCTACCTGAGAGGGTGCCTGGGAGGGCTGAAGGGGTTATAGTGCACTAGGAGCTTGCTTAGGAAGGAGCATGTGGACAGCAGGTGCACAGTAACTGCGTGTTCCCTTTCTGGTTTGTGAACTACTGTGATCCTGAGAAAGCCTTTGCTTCTCTGCTCCTCAGGGAAGAATGAGAAATAAGAAAGAAACTGCTTCCAAGGTGAAAAGGCACCAACTGATTGACGGACAACTTTTATATGCCCAATATCATTTTAAAAGGAGTCAGATAAAATCTGATATATAATGGAGTTTCTTCTGATTTATCAAGATGATCTTACGAATCAAAGTCCTCACAATAAGAATGCTTCTCCTAAAGAAAAAGTCAAAACAATATCCCAAGAAGGATTTCATACTAGGTTTTCATTTCCACACCCTATGAACTGCTACCCAAGTGCACCTGGCCCATAAATTAGGTCAATACCCCCATCAGATACACAGGTTATGGAGAGTTTCCATGAGATTATACCACTGAGATTGCTTAACACATTGAAATCATAACCCACCCATGGAAAACTCCTTTTTGCTGCACAAAGGATGAAACACAAGGGTGTTTCTAGAGGTTGGAACAACAGGGACAGATATTTGGATTCACGGAAATGACAGGGCATAGACAGATTTGATGCTCAGGATCTAGTATCTAAATGCTTCAGAGGGAGGTAGGCAGCAAAGGGGTAAGAATCTGGAGTTGGGCAACAATATAACATGCATTACAAATATGGAGCAGATTGCAATCAGGAATCCAAAGCCAGAGAGCTTGCCAGAAACTATTCAAGGAATAAAATTAGCAACAAAATTTCATGACTATAAGGATTCTTGTCTTGATAAAAAGAGCTCTGTTACACAAATCCCTGCAGGTGAGACAGTGGTAGCTGAGATTCTGCCCTTATCCCTCCACTTGCCCTCTCTGGTCTGACTTGATACCACAAGCCTGTGCTGCTGAGATGAGTTCAGGTGACAGAGGGCAGCCCGGGGCAAGAAGAATGCAAAGGCTCGTGATGCCTTTTAAAAGTTCAAACTGATGGAATAATGAAAAAGTAAAAAAAAAAAAAAAAAAAAAAAGTTCAAACTGAGAACATAGTTCTAATCGACCCGAGCCTAAGAACCTGTCTGGGAGTACTCACCGTTTACATCTAGAGCCAAGAAAATTTCTCTCTTCTCTGTTGGGAAGGAGACCCTCCTAGAAGGAGGACAGGAGCCTTCCAGATAATGGTCAATAGAAGCAGCCAGATAACATTCATCCAGTGTGTCCAGGTGGACTTCGTTCTCTTCTACCACCAGCTGCTCCATGCTGAGATTGTGGGGGTGGGAGAGCAGATGGTGAAACAAGAGGGATGAGTCAACCTGGAGCCATAGCTGCTTTTGAGGGGAGGGTTAAGGGACACGTTGGAAAAAACAAATGGGGAGTCCCCTGAAAGGGAGGCATAACTATCCCCCCACCCACAAGCCCCAACTGGGGCCTGAAGGCGCTTGCAAAGCGAAAGGAAGAGAGAGTGAGGGAGAATGAGCATGAGATGCTCTGAGCACAGAGAAGAAATGAGTTCAGGAGGAAGGAGAGGAGCCACCCCGGGACACATAGTCATGTCACACACGCCCTCAGAACATAAAGGCGGCTTCAAATGCACCATACATTTTGTTGAAATATACATGCTGCATGCAAATGAATACCAGCTCTGGCAGCATAATGGACTCCTAGAAATCTTGTGTCTGCAAGACCAATTTTTCTGAGACTGTGATGGGACATGAATTTTGTTTCCTCGTTACTTTGCTTGCCACGAAATACCTGCCAAGGTCTTAAGACCAAAGACAGAGGCAGATAAGTATGGCATGCTGGTTTGAATGAAAAGGAGAGGACAGAGGAGTACAAGAAATCCTGGGCTGATCAGTAGCCCTGCTTCAACTGACTGCAAGTTACTATCATTGAGAGGGATTCATAAAGGGTGAAAACAGACAGCCTTGTGACAGGGACAATTTGTGGTGGTGTGAATGGAAGAAATAGGCATGTTCAGCACTTTCTGATTCCCCTGCATCTGAGATGACCAAATGTCACCACTGATGTCAGACCCATGTTTCTCCATAGTTACCTAGAGCAGATGATGTCTTGATTTTCCTCGTCCTCAAGATCAGCAAGATTTTCTAAGGATAAATTCAGACACGTTGAGAAACACTTAGCAGGTCTCATCGTGTAAATTAATAACCCAGCGTCCAATACTGCCATGGGGACCTTTATATCAGCAACGAGATGACAGGCTATTTAAGAAGGATATTCCAGATGCCTCAAGTTGGATCTCTCAGACTCTCCTTGGTTTACTTTCCTGAGCCATCAGGCAAGATCTCTCTTCCCTGGTAGATCCTCACCACAGTATTCTCTTCCATGTTTCAGTAAAAGTTTAAGATTCATCTTCCCCACAGAGTCTGGGGAATAGCCCACAGCATTCTTGCAGAATACTCTTAATACTCAGGCTTTTCTCGTCATATGCTGACTGCTTTAGCACAATGATGAGTGGAATGAACAAAACATCGAATTACATGAATCCTAGTTGTTACACGGACCCTTCAGTCATTCATGGGGCGGGAAAATGCCAGGGCTCTGCCTTGCTTCATGAAATACACACCCAAGGTGACGAGAGAGCTCTTTGCATCCTGGGGACCAGATGATTGGTTTGCTAAGACAAGCAATTTAGAGAAGCAAACACTGGGGATGACAGCAGTGACACCAGGGAGCAACAAATAATGAAGGCTCTGAGCACCTTTGGAAAGGCGCAGAAATTCAAGGGACACTTTGGGTATGAAAATGGGTGCCTTGTGGCAAGAAGAGACATTGCACAGGAATCAGGAAAAAATACAGTCGTCTCCAGACACCTGCACACATACAAGTGAGGGGTTCACTCCAGCCTTGGGTCTGTAATCTAACTTGGGGCCTGACCCATAGGCTTCACCTGAATGAAGAAGACAGCACTGCTCCCAGACCCACCTGATGTCTGTACTTAAAACTCTACCACAGAGTCTGATTCAAGTCACTGTCTACAGAACTTCCAACAGGGATGAGAAATCTCAGCAGCCCAGAGGCGAGGAGTACGAAGCACACAGAGTCTACCTGGGCATCCAGGTGGCATTCTGTCACAAGAAAATACTCACCGGTTACATCCCGAGCATAGGAGACATCCAGGTCCTCAGGTGAGAAGATGGCTGTGCTCCTATAAGACCAGCAGGTGTGTGCCAGGCTAGGAAGACCCGAGTAAGTCAGATAATAGTCATCCAGAGAGTTCTGCAGGGCACCATATTCTGCCATCTGTGGCATCTGTCTGCTGAACCTGGTGGGGGAGGGAGGGCAAAAGATTAAGCCAAGACTGATCAGAAACTGTACAGTTCTATCTGGTTCTGATGGAATGTTTGAGTGGTGAAGCACGCCAAGGGTCTCATCCATCAGAGAGAGAAAAGTCTGGTTTTTATCTGAGACAAAGCGTGGTTTCCCAGGGGCAGAAGAGAGAAAGAGCAGTAGGGGTTCAGTGCTCTGGCCAAAGAACAGGCGGATGAACAGACTGAATTCTCTCTGGTGGTGCAGTCATGCCTCACATACAGGGACACAGAACACTGGCTTTCACACTTCCATTTACGTTGCATTGACATTACTATGACACACACGCCAGCATGCTGACACCAAACAGAAAGCAGATACGCATCTCACTCTGTAAACCACACCTGATATAAAGATTGAGTGCAAAAGCATCACTCTGACTTAGTTCACCTGGGTGAACTGATTTGGGTTTTAAACTTGACAAGTAAAGAAGAAACGGGAAATAGTAGAAGTACCACAGTGAAAGCAGAGATCATTATGAAAAAGGATAATAATGGTGGGCAAAACTGACAACACAATATCTTCAGCAACTTCTGTTTTTCCCTGGATCGGGGTCTGCAGATGTCATGACTGTACAAAGAGCCGACAGATATTCAAAATTACCTCGGGGCAACCACCTCCGGTCCTTTCAGGTCATCATGATCATTCTGCTTTTCTGCAAATAAATTCACAGGAGATTGTCATCAGGCAAATGCCTTTCAAAACGCCCAATCGTGTGCCTATCTTCACAATGTGGTAACAGGCTATTGAGACAGAAATCATCCAGGAGGCCCTAGAAAGAGCCTCAGAAGAAGGCACTGGGTTTCCTTCTTGAGCCATGGGGCAAATTTCCTTGATATCCTATGTCACTGGAAGAGTATCCTGGTCATGAGTCTGTGGAAACAGCTAAATAAATCCTTTTCCCCACAGTTCCTGGGGAACAACTTTGCTACATCCTCAGCCTGCGATAATATTCAGGATTTTCCATCTGAAAGGTTGTTTACTAATGGGATAAGTGATTACACACTGAGATAAATGGAAGTGGAATCCATACACCATCAAGTCAAATGAATCTCAAAGCTGCAAACAGTGGCCATTCATCAGGTCGGGAAGTTCCAGGGCCCTGCCTTAGCTCAGAGAAACATACCAAAAGATGACAGTGTGGCTTACCTTCTGGTTTCAGAAGACTTTGAACAAGATATGTCAAAGGAAAAGAGAGAACCTATGGGTTGATAGAAGTGAACTAAAGTAGTGACATCTCCAAAGGTATAAACAAGCCTGCCAAAAGCCCTGGACAGGTGTAGAAACTCAGGGACATTACCCAGAAATGAAAAGTAAAGCATTTCATGTGAGATAAGAGGTTCACTCAAAATCAGGAAGCCTGAGCGCTACCTTCTGTGCCACAGGTGCTGAGGCACACGTGAGCCTGGCTGGACCACCTTGGGTAGAGTGGTTAACCACAGGGACACCCATGACAGTGAACTTAGAAAAGTTCATTCATAGAATGTCTTATTTTAAATGGAATTATAGAGTCTGGTTCAAACCAGGCTTCAGGATGTAAGCATAGGGTCTATTAAAGGGGATTAATTCTCTAGGAGTAGACTAACAGATGTAATGAAGACTACCTGTGAGACCAGTTGGAATTTCATCCTCTTCAGCCTGAGGGCAACCACAGGCTCCATCCACGGCAGACTTCACATTCTCTTCATCAAATGCAACTTCCCCATCATTGTAAGGCTGGTTGCAGGCAGAACCTTCCTGGGGAGTGGAAGCTACTGAAAAACATTCATCCTGGGAATGTGGGAACACCACCGTCTTTTCCACATCCTGCACGTTCACACTGTGTCAGATGGAGAAGGGAGGACAGAAGATTAAGAGGACTCGACTCCAAGCTATCTGGCTGCTTCTGATGACAGGCATTGAGAGTGGTCACAGAAAGCAAAAGGGCAGCCCCCTTAAGGAGGGAAGGAACTCCTCCTGATGTGGAGCGGAGTGTGGCTGCCCTGGGGTGGGAGAGAGACAGCAGGTTCTCTGGGCACTGGCCACACAACCTGTGGTTGAAGGAGGAAACGGAACGTTCCCTGCATGCTATCGTCATGACGCCCAACATGCACAGAGGACTGGGACAGCAGTTCACACTTTTCTGCACACATTGTGTTGATCTGGATATCCTGTGTCCAAGTGAACACAGCTGTTAAAAAGTTAAAAATTTGTTTCTGTTTCGACTCTATTCCATTCAATTTAAAAAATTTTATTTGCACAAATATACCTTCCAAATCAGTTTTTCAGAGTTGGAGAGAAAGGACGTATAGACTAGGTATTCTGCCTTCAAGAACTCTTTTTTCAATATTTTGTTGTAATATGAATATCGTTCTATTTTCTTCCCTTGAAATCCAATATTTGCCATCATGCTGATGCCAAACCAGTGTAAGACCATAGGATTTCACCCTACATGAACCACTCAGGAGAAAGCACATGAACACAGGAACTCCTAGGTTTGGTTATTGCACCTGGGTCAACTCACTGTACATTACTAAACTTGAAGGATTAAAAATTGAAATCCACAAACTTGTGAAACATAAATAGACAAGGTTGTTAAAGAGATAATTGCTGTTGAATGAATAGATGAAAGAATTACATAGACTACTTTCTATTTTTCTCTGGATCTGACGTCTCCTGCTGTCACCACTGACATTCACAGCCCACAGATCTTCAAATTACCTGGGAAATGTGAGCTCTTGTCCACTCACTTGCTTGCGATCATTTTCATTCTCTAGTAAGAAATTCAGAGACAGCCAGTCATAATAAGAAAATCAGACCTCACACATATCTACTCAGTAATCACATATACAACAAGGACTTTAATATTCTCATTGTAAGAACATACTTCTTTAGCAAAGTTATCCTAGGACACTTAAGTCTTGTGAGAATTAGACTGGACTGCTTCCAGAGCCATTGAGGAAATTTGCTGCTTGATCTGGTATCTCTCCCAACATCCTTTGTTCTGAGTCTGTATAAGCAGTTAAAAACGTATTTTCCACAGAGATGCTGGAACATGAGCTGAGTTATTTTCTAGAATTATTTCTATAGTACTGCTTAGTCCCATCAGATTATGTGGTTGTTGATGGTTTAGAGGAATTTATACTTGAGACTAGAGTGGTGGGTGAATTGTGAAAGCGTTAGCCACTCATTCGTATCTGTCTCTTTGGGACCACGTGGACTAGAGGCCACCAGGCTCCCCTGGCCATGGAATTCTCCACACAAGAATACTAGAGTGGGTGCCATTCTCTTGTCCAGAGGATCTGCATGACACAGGGATTGAACCTGGGTCCCCTGCATTGCGGACAGATTCTTTACCATCTCAGCCACCACGATAGCCCAGTGAATTGTAGTAACCCTCAAATCAAAAAGAATCTTTGATGCTACACAGAAACCATGGCCATTTGAAGCTGGAGGAACTGCCAGAGCCCAGCCTTGCTGCATGGAAGCCACAGCCTGAGGGAGGATCACCAGGCAGCCCAGGCTCCAGTGGAGGACATGGAGAGTGATGGATGTAAGAGTGATGGAGTAAGGATGAATACATCCCAGATGAAATGGATGTGAGGGTCTGAAAGCTCTTTTAAGGAAACTTGAGCAGATGTGGATCCAGAGGAGAGGAAGACTAGGAGACGGCAAAGGAGATGAGTGGAGAGAATGAATTAAATGGAGTGTCATAAAAGAGACTGATGGGTGCACTTCAAGAATGAGGGTAGCCCTTTATTTTAAAATGAGGGGAAAATGAGGAAAAGAAACTGGATATGAAACGTAGACATGGGACTGAGTTGCAGGGCCAGTGTTTACACTCCTATTGCATGCTGCTAAGACACTGTTACTGGGAGCACCCAACAGGAGTAAATTGCCTTGATGACAGATGTTGAAAGGAGAGGAAAAATACTGGCCAAGCTACCTTCCTGAGAAAGCAAGGAAAAATGGGGTTTAGAGAAAGCGGAGACCATAAAGCTTATGCTACCATAGAGGAAACAACCATTGTGCAATCATTTTGTAAGTGTTAAAGCACCAGAAAGACACAGTGCTTAGATATGATATATTCATAGTGGTTATCAAACAAATCTTAGCGAATCAGATGCCCTGGACATTATATTGTTGAAGATTCCCAACAATCTTGCAAAGGAGATAGAATTTTTCAAGAGTTCAGATGAGGGATGAGAGAGGCAAATACCTAGGAAGATGAATAAGTTGGCTCAGTTAAACAAGCAGGAGGTTGCAGAACCAGGGCCTGAGGCTGAGCTGGTCCTAAGTCCCAGGCTCTTGATCACCTCACTCTGGTAGAGGGTCACGGGTTTCAACTGGGCCGACAGCGCGTTTGGGAGAGGCCCTCTGCCTCCTCCACCCACAGCTTTGTGATGACCAGCACATGGACCAGAGCTTTCTAATCCCCTTTTCTTTCTTACCGAGAAAGAGTGGTCCTTGGTTTCCAGAATCAGGGATGGTGGTAAAGGCCCAGTTGATGGAAGAAAGACCAAGAATGGGTTTGCTCTCACCACAGTCAAGATGCTGGTCCAGCTGCCACTGCAGACACTCGGTCACGTGGGTGCTTTTCTGAAGCTGTGCCTGTGAAGTTGGCACCTCTGACGCTGGGAAACTCACAGGTTCCTGGTAACAGTCCTCCCAGGCGTCACCTGAAAGGAAAAGAGGGTTCAGTAGGACCAATGAAAGCTTCTTCTTGCCTAGCCCTCCCAGAATGCCCATTTCTGCTGTCCTAGCCCATAAGTGAAACCAGCCAATAACCCAGACAACACTGGCAGACATCAATGTGAAGAAGGCGCCATATTTATGGCTGGGACTGGGGTGCGGAGAAGGCAGGTGCTAGGCTGCAACTTCTTGAAATGAGAAATCACCCACTTGAGTCGAGAGGGTCTGGGTGACACAGGAGGTCAAGCCTCTTATTCTGTTATTAGCCTTAGTCTTGGAGCCTAGAGAGAAGGTTCCACACAAGCCTCTCTCTACGCATGGGGGAGAAAGAGTTGTTGATATCTACCCACAGGAATAAAAGAAGAGGAAGAGACATATGGCGTGAAAGCTTCAGGTCCTACTAGAATTTGAGCTGGGAAAATACAGTACATTCCAGACCCTTTGGAACTTCCTTGCTTGAAGTTTTTGTCTACCCTTCCACTCACCCGTACATGTACATATAGAATAAAATCTATTCCCACGTGGGGCAGAATGGGGATGGGTGGTATTAGCAGCTAGAACTAGCGGGGGAGAGGGCTGAGACCCTGTTGGAAACACCTTTGTGTCTCTTTAAAGAGATTATATAAGTACACTGCTTCAATACACGTCCCTCCACTGGTGACTCGACAGTGCTCATAATGAAATGTGTTTATATATTTCTACTGCGAAATGAGTACACATTCTCAGAACCTGGGCTAACCAAAGGCACGAAGTACCCTCCTCTGGTCCAGGTCAGGCTGCTGTGAGGTCACGGCCGCCAGGGCCTGCTCTCCATTGCTGTGGGGCTCTCCTCTCACCTCCTTATGCATCCACACCCTCAACAAGGTTTGTTTCTCTAACTGTCTCTCATGTGTCTGTTACCTCTTAGTGTTCCAGAGAGCATCTGAGTTTGACTCTCATCAAAGATTCATCCAACCTCCTTCCAACTGCTTTCTCTGATTCCGTCCTCTCCAGACTCTCAAAGGTCACCTGGCTTATCACCCCCCAAGCCTGTTTTATCACATGTGCCTCAGTTTATGGAAATGCATCCTCCCTTCCCTGCTACACAGATCGAACCTCCTCACCCGCCTTTCCAGTGCTCCTGTCTTCTGTCCCTTTCTTCTGAAATATCACTTCCCACAACTTCCTCTGCACATCCTCCTAGGACTCAGGCTGGCCCCTTTCTGACCCCAGCCCTGTACCAGGAGCCTCTGTGAGCTTCCAGGGCTTTTTCCAAAACCACTTCTCTCAGTCTGGTGTACCCTTCATATTTCCACCAGGCAAACTTCATTAAACATTAATCATCATGTTTTAGGACACTTCCTCAGATTTTATGATAATTCACATTGGGCTGAAGGGTAAATCCTTGTATATCAACAAATTTGGTGTTTGAAAGAACTGTCAAAACTATCTATCCCCTTATTCTCCAATGTTATTCTAAGTCGATGTCTAGGATTGTTTTTAATTAGCGTTGTGTAACTTCATCATCTAATTTTATTTGCCTTTCTTGAGAATGGGTTTTATTAAACCTATGCTTTGAATATTCTTTGCATTGACAGAATATATAATAACCAAACATTTTATCAATCATCAACAATACTGCCCAGTATTGTTAGCGTGGGGAAGAGCCTCCAAAGGAAGATCAAGATGTAATTTAAAAATCAAGTGTATGTGTTGTTTCTGTAGGGTTTCTCCTTGTACAGAGAGGACAGGGTAGACCTGACTACTCGTATCCGCATGGCTCCATAATGGCTATTCACACTGTTCTCAGGTTATCATGCGAAACCAGACGCAGGATGGAAACGGTATAGTGAGATATTCTAATCATTCATCTCAATCCGTCTGTGGGGATTTGGCCTTTCCTGGCCCATTGTGAACAATGGACTCCCAGGACTGGGTCATATCACACACTCACAAACATCTCAGACACAGATCTGAGTCACGTGTCTGAGCCTCACTCATCCTCTTCACGGGAACCCACACCCAGCGGTCAGTGTTTCTGAGATAGAGCTCCACAGTTTTCCATGGCTTCAGCACAGCCAAATTCAAGGCCTACCTGGACCCGTCGTGACAGCAGGTGACCTGGGGGCAGGACTGGGGAGCGGCGTGGACTCTCACCCTGGCTGTTCCCCAGAGAGAGCCCCGTGGAGCTCTGGCTCCACCTGGAGGGGCCGGGGAGCCGCCGGCTCTGCCCTTGGGACACAGTGCACAGAGGGACTGGGAGCTGGCACGTCTGAGTGAGGGACCACAGGGGTTCTCTGCAGCCCTCTGGCAACTTTCTCTTCAAGATTAAGATAGTTGCCAATCATTTGGTTAGGGCAAAGAGAAAAACGTGAGCAACATCCTCTGAGTCACTGATGGTCCGACTGCTGAGAGGAGAGGACTGAGCCCGAGCCAGGGTGTCGGGCCCAGGAGAGCTCAGTGTCCCACCTGCCAGTGGCCAGGAGTCTGGGCCCAGTGAAGGGACCTGCTGATCCTCAGTGCCCTCGGCTCCACCGTGAGACACCACAGCTACCTGAGAGGGTGCCTGGGAGGGCTGAAGGGGTTATAGTGCACTAGGAGCTTGCTTAGGAAGGAGCATGTGGACAGCAGGTGCACAGTAACTGCGTGTTCCCTTTCTGGTTTGTGAACTACTGTGATCCTGAGAAAGCCTTTGCTTCTCTGCTCCTCAGGGAAGAATGAGAAATAAGAAAGAAACTGCTTCCAAGGTGAAAAGGCACCAACTGATTGACGGACAACTTTTATATGCCCAATATCATTTTAAAAGGAGTCAGATAAAATCTGATATATAATGGAGTTTCTTCTGATTTATCAAGATGATCTTACGAATCAAAGTCCTCACAATAAGAATGCTTCTCCTAAAGAAAAAGTCAAAACAATATCCCAAGAAGGATTTCATACTAGGTTTTCATTTCCACACCCTATGAACTGCTACCCAAGTGCACCTGGCCCATAAATTAGGTCAATACCCCCATCAGATACACAGGTTATGGAGAGTTTCCATGAGATTATACCACTGAGATTGCTTAACACATTGAAATCATAACCCACCCATGGAAAACTCCTTTTTGCTGCACAAAGGATGAAACACAAGGGTGTTTCTAGAGGTTGGAACAACAGGGACAGATATTTGGATTCACGGAAATGACAGGGCATAGACAGATTTGATGCTCAGGATCTAGTATCTAAATGCTTCAGAGGGAGGTAGGCAGCAAAGGGGTAAGAATCTGGAGTTGGGCAACAATATAACATGCATTACAAATATGGAGCAGATTGCAATCAGGAATCCAAAGCCAGAGAGCTTGCCAGAAACTATTCAAGGAATAAAATTAGCAACAAAATTTCATGACTATAAGGATTCTTGTCTTGATAAAAAGAGCTCTGTTACACAAATCCCTGCAGGTGAGACAGTGGTAGCTGAGATTCTGCCCTTATCCCTCCACTTGCCCTCTCTGGTCTGACTTGATACCACAAGCCTGTGCTGCTGAGATGAGTTCAGGTGACAGAGGGCAGCCCGGGGCAAGAAGAATGCAAAGGCTCGTGATGCCTTTTAAAAGTTCAAACTGATGGAATAATGAAAAAGTAAAAAAAAAAAAAAAAAAAAAAAGTTCAAACTGAGAACATAGTTCTAATCGACCCGAGCCTAAGAACCTGTCTGGGAGTACTCACCGTTTACATCTAGAGCCAAGAAAATTTCTCTCTTCTCTGTTGGGAAGGAGACCCTCCTAGAAGGAGGACAGGAGCCTTCCAGATAATGGTCAATAGAAGCAGCCAGATAACATTCATCCAGTGTGTCCAGGTGGACTTCGTTCTCTTCTACCACCAGCTGCTCCATGCTGAGATTGTGGGGGTGGGAGAGCAGATGGTGAAACAAGAGGGATGAGTCAACCTGGAGCCATAGCTGCTTTTGAGGGGAGGGTTAAGGGACACGTTGGAAAAAACAAATGGGGAGTCCCCTGAAAGGGAGGCATAACTATCCCCCCACCCACAAGCCCCAACTGGGGCCTGAAGGCGCTTGCAAAGCGAAAGGAAGAGAGAGTGAGGGAGAATGAGCATGAGATGCTCTGAGCACAGAGAAGAAATGAGTTCAGGAGGAAGGAGAGGAGCCACCCCGGGACACATAGTCATGTCACACACGCCCTCAGAACATAAAGGCGGCTTCAAATGCACCATACATTTTGTTGAAATATACATGCTGCATGCAAATGAATACCAGCTCTGGCAGCATAATGGACTCCTAGAAATCTTGTGTCTGCAAGACCAATTTTTCTGAGACTGTGATGGGACATGAATTTTGTTTCCTCGTTACTTTGCTTGCCACGAAATACCTGCCAAGGTCTTAAGACCAAAGACAGAGGCAGATAAGTATGGCATGCTGGTTTGAATGAAAAGGAGAGGACAGAGGAGTACAAGAAATCCTGGGCTGATCAGTAGCCCTGCTTCAACTGACTGCAAGTTACTATCATTGAGAGGGATTCATAAAGGGTGAAAACAGACAGCCTTGTGACAGGGACAATTTGTGGTGGTGTGAATGGAAGAAATAGGCATGTTCAGCACTTTCTGATTCCCCTGCATCTGAGATGACCAAATGTCACCACTGATGTCAGACCCATGTTTCTCCATAGTTACCTAGAGCAGATGATGTCTTGATTTTCCTCGTCCTCAAGATCAGCAAGATTTTCTAAGGATAAATTCAGACACGTTGAGAAACACTTAGCAGGTCTCATCGTGTAAATTAATAACCCAGCGTCCAATACTGCCATGGGGACCTTTATATCAGCAACGAGATGACAGGCTATTTAAGAAGGATATTCCAGATGCCTCAAGTTGGATCTCTCAGACTCTCCTTGGTTTACTTTCCTGAGCCATCAGGCAAGATCTCTCTTCCCTGGTAGATCCTCACCACAGTATTCTCTTCCATGTTTCAGTAAAAGTTTAAGATTCATCTTCCCCACAGAGTCTGGGGAATAGCCCACAGCATTCTTGCAGAATACTCTTAATACTCAGGCTTTTCTCGTCATATGCTGACTGCTTTAGCACAATGATGAGTGGAATGAACAAAACATCGAATTACATGAATCCTAGTTGTTACACGGACCCTTCAGTCATTCATGGGGCGGGAAAATGCCAGGGCTCTGCCTTGCTTCATGAAATACACACCCAAGGTGACGAGAGAGCTCTTTGCATCCTGGGGACCAGATGATTGGTTTGCTAAGACAAGCAATTTAGAGAAGCAAACACTGGGGATGACAGCAGTGACACCAGGGAGCAACAAATAATGAAGGCTCTGAGCACCTTTGGAAAGGCGCAGAAATTCAAGGGACACTTTGGGTATGAAAATGGGTGCCTTGTGGCAAGAAGAGACATTGCACAGGAATCAGGAAAAAATACAGTCGTCTCCAGACACCTGCACACATACAAGTGAGGGGTTCACTCCAGCCTTGGGTCTGTAATCTAACTTGGGGCCTGACCCATAGGCTTCACCTGAATGAAGAAGACAGCACTGCTCCCAGACCCACCTGATGTCTGTACTTAAAACTCTACCACAGAGTCTGATTCAAGTCACTGTCTACAGAACTTCCAACAGGGATGAGAAATCTCAGCAGCCCAGAGGCGAGGAGTACGAAGCACACAGAGTCTACCTGGGCATCCAGGTGGCATTCTGTCACAAGAAAATACTCACCGGTTACATCCCGAGCATAGGAGACATCCAGGTCCTCAGGTGAGAAGATGGCTGTGCTCCTATAAGACCAGCAGGTGTGTGCCAGGCTAGGAAGACCCGAGTAAGTCAGATAATAGTCATCCAGAGAGTTCTGCAGGGCACCATATTCTGCCATCTGTGGCATCTGTCTGCTGAACCTGGTGGGGGAGGGAGGGCAAAAGATTAAGCCAAGACTGATCAGAAACTGTACAGTTCTATCTGGTTCTGATGGAATGTTTGAGTGGTGAAGCACGCCAAGGGTCTCATCCATCAGAGAGAGAAAAGTCTGGTTTTTATCTGAGACAAAGCGTGGTTTCCCAGGGGCAGAAGAGAGAAAGAGCAGTAGGGGTTCAGTGCTCTGGCCAAAGAACAGGCGGATGAACAGACTGAATTCTCTCTGGTGGTGCAGTCATGCCTCACATACAGGGACACAGAACACTGGCTTTCACACTTCCATTTACGTTGCATTGACATTACTATGACACACACGCCAGCATGCTGACACCAAACAGAAAGCAGATACGCATCTCACTCTGTAAACCACACCTGATAGAAAGATTGAGTGCAAAAGCATCACTCTGACTTAGTTCACCTGGGTCAACTGATTTGGGTTTTAAACTTGACAAGTAAAGAAGAAACGGGAAATAGTAGAAGTACCACAGTGAAAGCAGAGATCATTATGAAAAAGGATAATAATGGTGGGCAAAACTGACAACACAATATCTTCAGCAACTTCTGTTTTTCCCTGGATCGGGGTCTGCAGATGTCATGACTGTACAAAGAGCCGACAGATATTCAAAATTACCTCGGGGCAACCACCTCCGGTCCTTTCAGGTCATCATGATCATTCTGCTTTTCTGCAAATAAATTCACAGGAGATTGTCATCAGGCAAATGCCTTTCAAAACGCCCAATCGTGTGCCTATCTTCACAATGTGGTAACAGGCTATTGAGACAGAAATCATCCAGGAGGCCCTAGAAAGAGCCTCAGAAGAAGGCACTGGGTTTCCTTCTTGAGCCATGGGGCAAATTTCCTTGATATCCTATGTCACTGGAAGAGTATCCTGGTCA